ATCTACAATAAACAGTGATCCTTTGTAATATTACCTTTGTAACCTAACCTTACCTTACCTTTGATACCACCATGTGTTTGTTTAACAAAAGGCCTTATGAAAAGTTCATATCAAAGTTAGAGTGATCGAAGTGACGTCAACAAGTCATCAGTTCGACTGGCGACCTAGCTTTCCCTCTGTGCCTTGTGACACGTAATCTGGTTTTACCCTCTGCGCCTCGTCACACGTGACCCACCTTTCTCTCTGTGCCATATATGTCACATGACCAGACTACTCTCCGTTCCGTATGCCACGTGACCTGGCGTTCCCTCTGTGCCGTGTGACACGTGACCTGGATTAGTGGTCACGCGGCAGTTGTCCGTCGGCCGGCCTCCGCTGCGTGCCGCTGATAGGAGCCGTCATCAGCCGTCTCTTCTGTGGCGCACCTTGCCCTCATCTGATCCAATTATTCTGCAGGCGCCCGCCGCCTCGAAGGGCGCATCGATCTCGTGCCGGTGACCGACTCCCGGTGCTGATGGTCGCCGTTTGGTCCGACTCGACAAAGACGCCAGGGCACCGGGGGCAGCTGACAAGCGCGTTTATCCGCCGTGGGGGGGGGGGGGTATTATCCGGACGTGCCGGGCAGTTGGTGGAGGGAGTTTTTCATTGGCACGGCTGCGAGCGTGGTGCACCAGCAGGACCAGCCGCGAGTGGTATTGTATCGGACGGCAGTGAACGTAGTAAGTGGAATTTAAATCACGTGTCAAGTATGACCTAGGAATCACAGGGCGAGTCTGGCATCAGTTGTGGTTGACCGCGTGAACAACCGAAGCAAGGTCTGTGTAGATAAGCACAGCCGTCGTTGTCTCGGGTAGCTTGAGCCATTTCTTGGTTATGAGATAAATCTATTGTGCATATATATAGGGCTTTGCTTTGGAGTTGATACATAACTCGCTGGGATGCGCTTTTAGACTATTGAATTATAACTAAAAGTCGTCGATTTTCTTGCATGGGGCATGCCCGCTACGAACAGCCACCTCCTGCCAGCGCTGGCGGCTGGCGCTGAGAGCGGTACCTCCCCCGTCCGTGCCTGCCGCCCCTCCCGCCCGTGCCGACTGCCCCTCCCGCCCGTGCCGCGCGACTCGTTAACGTCACGTGATGCCGCGTTTGACGGGCCTGTTTTCGCACCAAACGACAGCCCAGCCGACAGCCAGTCACTGCCAGAAGCCACACAAGCACCGCAGGAAAATTGTACTTACAGCCGTCTAGCGGGGACTCAAGCCTGTCAAGCCTGTAAACTTTTGAGCAGCTGCTGAGATGCTGCTGGGTGCCAAGCTGTTTGATATATTTGGAGAGCATTGCTGATTGAAGTTATTTACTGCTTCGTTGTACCAATGATTCCTAGCGTAATGCAAATACTGAAAATATTGGGCTGTTGCGGCATATTGTGCTAAGAAGGGCGCATTTTTTCACATCAAGTAGTACAGTACCTTTGTAACATATTCACTATCGTGTAAGCAATGACTATGACTTTAAAGTGATTTGCCTTTATAAGAGGTTATTAACAAAAAATACAAAAATAACAGCATATTTACGTCTGGACAACGAGTTGCGTTGGAGAGGCCGGAAATAGTGGCGATTTCAGGGCCGCAAGAATGGACCGTCATTGGAATGATTCTTTTTTAAACCGGGCACTGTTTTCGGCCGGAATTTAATAGTTACTACAAAATATTTTGTAATTACGTTTCCACCAAGAATGAATGCCATCAGGGCTAAATTTTTAATACTATTGCATTTTGTCAAGAAGCATATAGTGCTGTTATATTGCAGTTTTAGCGCGTTTGTTACAAAATATGAAGCGAATAAGCGTCAGTGTAATTCATCAACAGTGCCAGAAGTTAACTTGAGGGAAGGCTATGCTAATTGCTCTTGTCCATCCATAAAATTTGTTAAATATTTTGCTTTGTGTATTCCAAAAGGAGAGGGAACTATTTCATTTGTGCCTTCATGTCAGAATTGAAGGTGGATCATTAAATTTTCAACGCAGTTTACAAACAAGCATTTGGTCTTTCTCGTTTATAAGCAGTGGCTAAGAAAAGGTTGATCAATCCTGAAGTTCAGTCATCGTACCTCAACTTGGCAGGAAGATCCCCTAAGGACAGAGGATATATTGTATACATGTCCTGTAAATCAAAACAAACAAGCATTTGGTCTTTCTCGTATATAAGCAGTGGCTATAAGAAAAGGTTGATCAATCCTGAAGTTCAGTCATCATACCTCAACTTGGCAGCAAGATCCCCCAAGGACAGAGGATATATTGTAAACCTGTCCTGTTTATCAAAACATTTTTGTGCCTTTTCAAAGGCTTAGTTATCTGTGGTGTGTTCGGAGTTAGGCTATATGGCTGTTTTTGTTGTATGTTTATGTGGAGATTGAATATAACTGTGAGTTGTGACCCTGTGCTTGTTTGTATACTTACGGTCAAACAGGGAACAGCACATTCACATAACATACTCTACTCACCTAGCACCTAACTCATAGCTGTACCCTGCAGGATCTGTACTTGTTCATGTCTCGAGTATTAACAAAGCACTTAAGTAGCTTAGTAATCATTTCCCACATTTTCTGAGCATCTAACATGACATACAGCAGTGCAGAGCAGCTTCAGAGAAGAAACACTTTAAATGCACAGACTCACACCAGCCACCCAATGAGCCAGTTCCTCAGTTGACTGTTTCCCTGGACACAGCTTGGCAATGTGAGCTAACTTTTGGCAAGTTGAAGGTTAGCAGGTAAGATTGAGTTAGGGTGAGTACCTACCTATAACTGGGTGCTACTGCCATGCAGGTCTTGGGTAGGCTGCAAATATGTGTGATGATTGAGGTTAGGTCAGCTGTCAGGTTAGTTAGGTTCAGGTATGCTCATTGCTCAGGTCACATTTTTATGGACATTTGGCAAATTAAAAAACTAACAATCTGATCTAAGCTAACCTGACTAAACATACACAACTACTGACTATAGGAACTGAGCACCTACCTACTTGTGCCTACATCTCATACCATGTCAAAGTAGAGTTCCTTGGTGGAAGATTACCCTCAGTACTTTTTATCCCAGCCCTGTGAATAAAACTAATACTTCTAAGCTCTGAGTCACTGCTGGCCATCCACAGGAAGAAACGCTGAGACTGAGAGCTTTGCCATTGTATATTGGACCAATAATGACTATCACGAATGACTATGAACACATAATATGATCACATTGTTGCATGGATTGTCACATTGACAATTTTACTACAATCCTTTTTTAAAGAAATACAGTGATAATGATTAACATCAAAATCAACATAGAGTGGATTTAGTGATCCAAGCTTTCTCCTCCAGTAGCGATGGAATGATCGCATGTTTCATTTGCCAGACACTGAGTACCTGATGCACATTACAATCTGCATAGCATCTAAGCATAGTAAAACTGCCCAAGTCCATTCATTCTAGATTTTAACTTGATAGTTAGCACTAATTTATCTTGCTGTTGTAAGTTATCATTCAATATTCATACCAATACATCAATATGCGCTCATCAGTCAACATTTTCTGTCCTGCTCAGCGTGCTCTTCAGTATTGCTCCAAGGTCTGCAATATTATAGCTTGTTTTTGGACAATAAGCTCTTTTAATTTTACTTTTTCTTACTGATATATGAGCCCGATCAACTTGCGTTTATCAACCAAAATTTCATAACTTGTTCAACTTGATATTGATATTGCTCAGTAGTCAGGACCTCTGTCAGCCTCCTGGATACTTCAGATTGTTCTCAGTCAACACGCTTCTTAAATATGATATAAGTCAATCTTAAGGGATTCAAAACATCCAACAAAACGACGTACAAGAGCAAGAAAATCACCAGATAAACTAAAAAATGGCCTTTGAACAGAGCCAAGTTGTGTGCTCCATTTGTTTGTTTACAATGATTGTAGTGCTGATGTATTTTTAGGAATCTGAACGTCGGCTAATAAAAAAATGAAACGTTTTTACAAAAGTTGAAAGGCAAGTAATATTTATCTGAAAGAACTAAAATATTCAAAAGCCAAACACTATGAAATACATGAATCGGAACGAAAAAGTAACCCAAAAATCCAGCCTAATCACCGGCTCCTAAAACTGCAACACAATCAGCACTTTTCCCCGCAACTCGTTGTCCAGACGTAAATATGCAAAATAACAAGCTCAAAAATGTTAAATATAACTTGTTTTTTCCTTGCTTTTTTAACTTGTTTTTTTTTTTTTTATAGCCCGCGAAAGCAATACAAGCTAAAAGCACCAACTAAGGGAGCGGCCATATCGGCTATGTCATACATCGACTGTCAGCATTAATGCTGTTTGTGCGGATCTGATGCCGAACTAATGCAAATCAATCAAACACCGTCCACCTAAGCGCCATCTAATTATAGTTCTGCGCTGCCAGGCAGGGCGCATAAAGCCGTATCCGGGAAAATGAGTCGTGATACCGTCACATCGCCACATAACAAAGGCGGGATCCTTATTTTCGTGTTTTTTGACGGAAAAAGTTTTTTTATTGATGAGTGTAATTGTTGTTTCCACTTAATTTTTTTTCACAAATAAAGACAGACTCATACAAGCATACCCAAGTGCTATACACATACGCAAGTCAGGTAATGTTACTGTGCATATGTGTGCGTGTCTGTGATGCGTTGACGCATTTGATTGTGGTGTATGTGGATGCATGCTTGTCATAAGGGTGCTGTGCTTGTGAATGTGTGCATGGTACGTACAAAACGAAAAAAAAAACGAACTTGCTTAACAATAACAAAACAAAAACAAAGTTACAATCAAATTAAAAATTACATCAGGGACGGAACCCGCGAAGCGATATCAGCTGCAGAGACGTTAACTCAAGTGATAATGCTAGTAACTTGGCAGAAGAAGCAAGTAACGTTATGAGATCAGTCGCGACACAGAGAAAAAGAAAATACGCTTGTAATAAAGTTCGTTAATAAAATGCAGCGTTTCACTTTTCACTTTTATTTTTGAATGTCCGAGATAATGAGTTTAATCGAGATGACGAGCCGAAAAGAACAAGTGAAGCTATAAGCGACCGGCGAGGGAGCGGCCCTCACTCGGTCCGACTGCGACTGCGACTGCGACTCGACTGCGACTCGACTGCCGGGCTTCGGCCCGCTCCGGCGCGACATATACCATACATACGTCACACATACGTCACACATGTACGTCATATCATAACACCAATCAGAAGCGGGTCAGGACAGGCGTCACAGGTAAGGAACGAGGACCATAAAAGGACATTGTTAGTAAGGGCAGGGGGCTGGGAATGAACTTTGTTACACCACAACGCAAGGTCCATAAAGCTAAAATCTTAAATGAAGATTTTCGTCTTGGAATGCTTCCGATATGATGCATGATATAACGTACAACACACGTTAGTTATCACACAACAAACACACACACACAATGCAACATAAACGACATAGCATAATATACGACACAATACAGTCAAATGTAACACTATCCTATAACAGTACACAAACAATACACTTTTCCCCATGTCCCCACTTTGTTGTAGTCCTTGTAGTAGAGTTCTTTTTCCGAAATGTCCGACCTTAGCACCGTCCGCGATATTTGTTTATAGTCCGGATCTAAAATCAAATGTCTCACCCGTTTGTTCCAATTGCGCATTCACTTTCAGTCATCATGTTCCTCGCAGTCACTCTATTGTTTCCTTGCACCGCACTCACTCGCTAGATGGCGTCTGTCTTTAGAGCACGCAGCGCTAGGTGGCGCTCGCATCGTTCACAACGCTAGGTGGCGTTTGTCCGCAACCGCTAGGTGGCGCTGTGAGGGGCAACGGCGGGCAGCATCGTGACGGCGAACTTGTTTCGGCTTACGTCAGCGAGCGCCTAACGCCGGCCAGTGGAAGCAGAAAGCGAGTGACGTTGTGCAGGGCAAAGCAGAGTGACGACTACAGCAGTGCGGCGGCAGCGGCAGCCTCGCGACGGCGACTTGCTTCGGCTTACGTCGGGCGTGCGCGCGTGCCAGCCGAACGGTGAAGCGTGCGATGAAGAGTGGTGACCGGCGATGACACGGATGGCCCCCCGATGATGTCAGATGACCGGTGTCAGTTCGTTGTTCGGCGGCTCCCAGCGACGTCAGCAGTGATGGGGTGTCAGTCAGTCTGACACCGGACGTCACGGGGCCGGCCGGGCGCTGACATTTGTCAACAGCGCCGCTGGCTCGGGTGGCGAGGCCAGCGCTGACGAACCAGTCATCGGAGCCATCCGGTCGAGGTCGCCGTGTTCACACCCTGCCGGCTGGAAACCGGGCGTAAGCATATCTTGTCGGGTTGGTGCGCAATAGGAAGCTTTGTGTCGTCTGGTGACGGGGTTGAATCGGGACGACTGTCTTTGTTCGGACAGGCGGTGCTGACCGGTCGGGTCAGGTCATTGAGCGTTGCAGCGTCGGTCGTGTCTTGGGGCGTCACAGCTGAGCCAGGGGCAGGATTCGAGTCGGGGATGTAACGGCGTAGCGGGACAAAGAGGGTAAAGACTTGGACCCGAAATCCGTGAAACACATTTACATTTACTATTTATTAAACGGTGACGTAAAAGTCTTAACCATTGACAAAAAAATAAAATGACATGAAATTAAAACAATTTATGGAGATAAAGGACAACAAGCTTTCATGATTAATTCCAATAATCATATTCAAAATACATTTACAGCTATTGTGCTTCGAAAAGTCACACAATCGGTACTCAAGTTTCGATGCTAGTTTCCACGTCGTTCGGGTCTCAGTCGGAAGGCGAACGTCATGTAGAGGCACGTGAGAAGAAGAACGTGTCGCAGTAGATGTCAGCAAAAGAGGCAGTAGGATAAACATTCTCGCTTCCATATCTGTAAGCACACAAACGAAAGTCACTGACGGATAACGACATAATTAACACACAACCACATTGGTGACAAAATGACGCACGGGTCAAATATAACATAACCTAAATGGTCCTCTGTCCATTAAAAGCATGACACAATATATCTTTCCAAACACATAAACACTTCTCAATTCCTGGTCCTATCCATGAGGCGCGTCCGCCATAACACAATGCATAGGCTCACTATGCCATCGTTCATAACACATAATCCATAACACAATGGCACGCTGGCCGAATCCAAAGTTTGAGGCGCACTAGCCTGATCCACAACAATTCACAGTCCAATGGCACTACGGCCTGATTCCAAAACTTAGGCACACTAGCCTGTAAACTACAAGTATAATCTATAACATATCCTATGACTTCAACAGTTGAGCCAGCATTCTCTCCATTGTGGCTCCATAATTCTCAATCACCTGCATTGCAATTGCTTTTGTACTGGACTCATTCACACCGGGGTTAGTTGCATTCACACTCACACAACATTCACCAGCGTCAGATCCTTCCAGGTCCGAGGTTTCAGATTCCGAACTGCTTACATCGTATTTGCCAGATTTTTCGGGCGGTGACCGAGTTTCATCCCCTGAATTTTGGGTGTCGGACAGAATGCGTGGTCTTTTAACCGATTCCCTCGGAGTCTCAGTAGGCGTTTCCGTGGCACCTTCGGATAATTGTTTCGCTAATTTTGCCAAAGGTATATTGTCCTCAGGGTCCGAATCAGAGTATTGGCGTTTCCAGCGTCTTTGAAGTTCAGCAAGAGGTACGTTGTCCGAAGAATCCTCCGAATTATTGTCAGAAATGTCAGGGGGTTCCGAAAGAATTTGCGGCGCCATGGAGTCATTTGAACTGTCACCTACATCAGCAGTCGCCTGGTCCTGTGGGTCACGTCGGTCCAAGGTGTGCGGCGTACGTACTGGCGCGTCGTAAAAGTCCAACAGCTCATGATCCTGTGTAGCAGAATATTTTGATTGCCTGGGTGGCTGAACTCTGATGGGAATGTGAGACCTGCGTTTTTGTTGATATTTGCTGTCAATGTAGGATGGTTCGTCGGAAGTGTATTTCCACATGTTTTCTGCGTTTGCCTGTCGGAGGTTGTGAGCGTTCACCACTTTGGTTTGTCCCGATAACTGATGTTTGATAACGAAAGTGACGTCACTAAGAGCCTTGACTATGCGGTAATATGGTTTCCAGTTTGAAGCTAATTTTGATGGCTTAGCTGCATCCGTCGGATCCCTAAAGTATACCATATCCCCTGGTTTTAGTTGCACTGGTTTGGCCTTCCTATCATAGTAAAGCCTGTTCCTTTCATGACTTTGAGCTAAATTATGCTGAACATGATGATGAGCCTTGTGCATATTTTCCAGCATGGTTGGGAGATATTCCTCGCCGTGGTAGCGAATCTTTGGGGCAAGTAGGGTATCACACGGAAGAACGGGATCACGTCCGAAAAGTATGAAAAACGGGGAATACTTTGTGCTTTCATGTCTTGCGGTTCTATATGCAGATAAAATACCAGGTATCTTTGTATCCCAGTCTCTGTAAGAAGAGTCTACGAGTTTAGCTAATGCATCATTTTGTACTCTATTGAATCGCTCAACCTTGCCGTTGGACTGAGGGTGATATACCGACGTTTTAATGTGTTTGATATTGAAGAAGGCGGACAGTTGATCAATGACAGCGTTACAGAATTCTGTTCCATTATCAGAGACAATGACACGGGGACATGAATGCCACGGAATTATGTGTTCAACCAAAATTTTTGCGACAGTATCGGCGGATTTGGACGACGTTGCAAACGATTCCGGCCATCCTGAAAATAAGTCAATGATATTGACAATGTAACGATTTCCTGAATAACTCTCTGGGAACGGACCTGAAGTATCTATGGCTATCTGTTCAAAAGGATATTTGGGGACTTGCATGTTTTGTAACGGGGGACGCTGACGTTTTAATTTCCTCATGTTGCAGGCAACACAGCCCCTCAAAAACTGTACAACATCTCTATACATGCCGGACCAGTAATAACGAGAACGCAGTTTGTCATATGTTTTGTCAATACCTAGGTGACCGCCAAAATAACCCGAATGTACCTCGTCAATCAACGGTTTTTGCAGAAACTCCGGAATAACAAGTTGCATGCCCACAAAATTTTCGCACTTTGTCGGTTCAGAAACCCGGTACAATAATCCGTCGTCCATAACATAAAACTTTGCTATACTAACATGATTTGGGTGGGTTGGATCCTTCAAAATTTTCACAATTCGCTGAATCTCAGCGTCCTCGGACTGGAGTGTTTGAAAGTCGGGATGATTGTTCAAAAACTCACGAAACTTCTCCTTTTTGTTCCCCTCAGCGTCTTCACAAGTAATATCTGTTTCCAGTTGCACGGCAGGTGCAGCATCCGAATCTATAACATGAACACCACGTCTATCTACACTATTTACATTGCATTGTCCACAAACGCTTTCCTCCTTCCGGCTCACGTAATCAGTGGGGCCTGGTGACGAATCATTCGTCGTTGGTCGGCCAAAGCGTGACAATGCATCAGCGACAACATTCTTGCTGCCACTGACGTATTCTACATTACACCCGTACTCATCCAACATGATAGCCCATCTTTGTATCCTAGCATTTTTCATTTCGCTTGTAAATAAATGTTGAAGAGGTTTATGGTCTGTTAATACAGTGAATTTCGATCCTAACAAGTACGGTCGGAATTTTTGGACACTGAACACAATCGCGTAAGCTTCCTTTTCGATGATTGGCCAGCGCTGTTGAGTTTCGTTTAATTGATGAGATAAGTATTGAATTACACGCTCGCCAAATGGACTATCCTGAACTAAAGCCGCACCGATCGCATAATTTGACGCATCCGTATACAATTTGTAAGGTTTTTCGACATCCGGAAAAGCAAGTATGGGAGCATGAGTAAGTGAGGTACGTAAGGTCTCAAAAGCGGTTTGGCATACATCTGTCCAAACGAAATTGCGATTCTTTTTGGTCAGTTCGGTTAGCGGTTTGGCTATCTTTGCAAAATGAGGCACAAACCGTCGGTAGTAGGAACACATGCCTATAAATGAACGAACGCCTCTGACGTCCGTTGGTGGCTCTAGATTTTGAATAACACTAACTTTTGCTGGATCCGGTTTGACACCACTGGCGGAAACGACATGGCCTAAATAATTTACCTCCTTTTTCAAGAACTCACACTTCGACATTTTCATTTTTAGTCCGGCGTTCCGTAACCGCGAAAAGACAGCGTCAATATGTTCTAGATGGTCCTCAAACGTTTTTGAATAAATCAGGATATCGTCCAAATAAGCTATGGTAAATTTGTACTGAATTCCGCGTAGAACCTCGTTCATAAGTTCAGAGAAAATACCAGGTGCTGAAACCAGTCCAAATGGAAGTACATTGAAATGATGTAAACCTGCAAAACAAGTAAACGCAGTCTTTTCCTTTGACTCCTCATCCATAGGAATTTGCCAATAGCCGCTGCGGAGGTCCAGACACGAAAAATATTTTGATCCATCAAGTGAGGCCAGTATATCGTCGATACGTGGCAAGGGGTGACTGTTCTTTTTGGTAATCCGATTTAACGCACGCAAATCCACGCAAAATCTTTTTGATCCGTCCTTTTTGTCCACTATCACAATGGGGCTTGCCCACGGACTTTGACTGGGAGAAATCACACCTGCTTTTAACATGTTATCAATATGTTCTTGCACTAGTTGTCGTTGACTGAATGGTAGCCGATATGGATTTTGTTTAATAGGAGGATGGTCGCCAGTGTCAATTTTCGCTTTCAGAAGATGAGTCCTTCCTAATTCACAATCATTTTTGGCAAAGAGGTCACTGTTACGTTCCAATAAAGCCACTAACTTTCGGCGCTGTTGCTCGGACATATGAGACAGGTCAGCCTTTTGAATTTCCGGAATGTCATCCGGTCCTGCTGAATCCTGACTGGGTTGGTTCACAGACGAAATGCATGATTCAATGTCCTCAATTACCTCAGCAATCCCAACCACAGAGCGAGCGGGCAACGTATAGTCCCTGCCGGTGGCGTTAACAATGACTACAGCAATCTGACGTGTTTCGATGACCTTGCTCACACTACTTACTAACGAAAGACCAGGTTCGTCTCCTAAAATCGGAACATTGTTGAGCGGCTGTACTAAACAATCCTGGTTAATGAGCTGGTCACGATTTACTTTTGCAGGAATTTCCATGTATGACTGAGCGGGAATTGTGACCGGTTCCGACAGACGTATGAGCGAAGTTGCAGAATGACATGTAAGTTTTTGGGGTCGAAGAGGGATGATATGACCATCCAAGTTCAGAGTTCTTTGTCCGAAGTCCAGTTTAGCCGAGAATTCCGTCAGAAAGTCATTTCCCAAGATACACTGATTTTTGAGCCCCTTAACAACCTGAAAACGGTAGGGCTGATCAAAACCAGCGATACTGACCTGAATCACAGCCGTTGCAAAATTTTCCAGCCTATGTCCTGACACTGATTGGAGAGGAGTACAGTCCGCAGTTGAAAACTCGCGAATATTTTTCCTTGGAATTTTGTCAAAAGCCTCCTTAGAGATCAATGAAATATCCGCACCTGAATCCACAAGAGCATACGTTTTCCTACCTCCTAAATGTAACCAGCACATTGGTGTGTCAGGTTTTACCGAGACGCGCGCAATTTGGGGGCCATTTTGAATATTGGATGAAACGGGGTCTCTTGGACCACCGTTTGTTTGGGCCCGCCTAGGAGGTCCGTCTTTCCCAGGGGCCCTTTTCAGTTTTCCGCCCGGCAGAATCTGCTGGTGTGGCCGATCCGTCCACAGACAGAGCAGATTGGCCGGCCGTCTCGTGTCCATTTGTGGCGGTGTGGTTGTGGAGGCGGTGGCATGTTATACATGTGAGGCGGCGGCGGTGGTACAGGTGGTTGTGTCGGCACGTACATGTGTGGCGGTGGTGGCCTCGGTTGTGTCGGAGCGTACATGTGAGGCGGTGGAGGAGGTACAGGTGGTCGTGTCGTCGTCGCACGTGGTCGGTTTTGTCTTTGTGTCTGTCCGCGGTTTTGTGTCGTGTTTCGTTGTTCCAGTTTCTTTTCCAAGTCAGTCACTTTTTTCCTCAGTTCCTCTACCTCGTCCTTTTTCACTATGTCTACGTCCATGGGTTCCTCGTCCCTACGGTACAAACTAAATATTTTGTCCGTCCTTGTCTCCTGTTCCGCTTCATGTTCCAGCTCGTCCAACGTTTTACAGTTCTTCCTAATCAGTGTCCTAGCAAGTCGATCGTCCCTCAGTCCCCGCTGAAAGGTGTCCGTTAGTACGTCCTGGGCGTCGGGGCTGTCAATGTCAGAAAACATGTCAGCCGCGGCGGCGCGAAGTCTTTCCGCAAAGTTGTGTACTGCTTCTCCTTTGTTCTGTTTAATATGACGGATTTTTTCTTTTGAGATACGAGGATCCTCCGTCTCTCCGTACCTTTTCCTGAGCTTTTCTCTTAGTTCTGTCCAAGAAACGTGAGTTTTTGTCAGGCGGGCCACGAAAAGCCCGGCTGGTCCCCCGAGAGTAAGGGTGGCCAGAACACACATCCTGTCTGAGTCAACTGTGTTCGAAAGCTGGTCCATATCCGTTAGCCATTGATAAAATTTAGCTGTCCCCTCGCCGTGGAAGGGCCTGACGTGTTTAGTTAAGCTTGATATTCGGATCTCTTGCACTACACTGTTTAGAGCTGTCGTTACAATTGAGGCCTCGGTCATTTTTCAAACAATTCAGTGACACAAAGAAACAAACAATGAAAGCGAGAGTGTTTTTAAAGAAGAAAAGGATGGAATGGCTCACTGTTCCGCTGCTTTGTAGTGAAGAGATGTCTAGATGCCCAGAAGTCCGCCAGAGATGAGTCGAAGACGCGCAAAATTTTTCAAAAGTCTTTGCCCGACGTTATCCGGGTTATCACGGCACCAAATATCTTGTAATAAAGTTCGTTAATAAAATGCAGCGTTTCACTTTTCACTTTTATTTTTGAATGTCCGAGATAATGAGTTTAATCGAGATGACGAGCCGAAAAGAACAAGTGAAGCTATAAGCGACCGGCGAGGGAGCGGCCCTCACTCGGTCCGACTGCGACTGCGACTGCGACTCGACTGCGACTCGACTGCCGGGCTTCGGCCCGCTCCGGCGCGACATATACCATACATACGTCACACATACGTCACACATGTACGTCATATCATAACACCAATCAGAAGCGGGTCAGGACAGGCGTCACAGGTAAGGAACGAGGACCATAAAAGGACATTGTTAGTAAGGGCAGGGGGCTGGGAATGAACTTTGTTACAACGCTCGACTCGAGAAACTGCGAGTTCCGTCCCCAAAGTGAGCTTAGAAGGTAAGCATGAAGCTTGCGCTCACTGATCAAAAAGCCGCGCCGGCACTGTTGGTCGCACACTGCGCTCTGTATCGGTAGTCCGTACCGCTCGGTGGAGGGAGGTGGCGCACGCGACCGAACCCGACCGCGAGCACCGGTCGACTCGCATTTGTTTTTGATGGTAACGATACTTACAAGAAATATCTTCTCTAATACCCTTGGTCAATTATGCACAGTTTAATAATGAAACTATACTTGTGTCATGAAGCCCCCAAGGGCTTATAGTGCTGCTTATGCAGAAATAATGTAACTATACCCAAGTCACGATGCCCCCAGGGGTAGGGTAACTAAGTGCTGCTTATGCTACTTAGGCATCAGACAATGATTGACCTTCAAGCTTATCATTTATTATTTCGAGAAACTAAAGGCAAGGGGTTTCCCACGACCCATACAGGGCAGAACAAGCGCCCGATACTTATGCGAAGTGGTGTTAACAAAATAGGGAAGTGGATACCAAACATTTTACCCCTTTTATACCACTATATATTACAGAATTAGCCGGTTTATCAAAACTTCTTAGTCTTACACGAAACACACCGATGTTGCGTTACCTAGTTTGTAGATCAAATCAAACCAATTCCTCCATTTCACACTTGGTGTCCCACTCAATCCAATTTACTGCACACTGCACCGCGCATCGGTTTCAGTGCATGAAACACCTTCTCTGGGGCTGGGGAGGAGGAAGGGTGTGATAGTTGGACACCCGCTCGGCAGAGGATGCTACCATCGATCCGGGGTGATTGTTTACTAGCTCTGGCTCTCCTGATGACCCGCACAGAAGCCAGATTAAACTAATTAGCCGCGTTAATCAATCAGTGAACGGAGACACACCCCGTGGCGGCGCGGAAGATTACCGATCGCACGGTCGGAGAGCGACACAAACAACGCTTAGCTTCGGAGAGACGCGGAAAACATGGCAGAACTGGCCTCCTCACCGCGGCACCGGGAGCGACGGGGAATCCGCTTAACAAGGTCAGCCGCAGATAAAGTTGTGAGCCGGATCGGAGCCTTCAATTCTCAAAAGCTTTTGCGGAAGGAGCAAGTTTTCTGTTCGTTGCTGGCAGACTGAGTCAGGTAACTAACTCAGTCACAACAAGAGTTTGTCAATTCCCATAGCAGTCTGGTGAACGACGCTCAGCTGATGAGATAGAAAAGGCTTCTTAGATCGCACTGTTTGAGAATGTGTCTTGTGCTTGTAATATTTCAGTCCATCAAAGTGAGCAAGGTTCATTGTTCAGTTTGACATGACTATTCTTACTTATATAGCCATCAGTTTTATGCCTGACAAGTTGAAATGTTTCTAAGGTTTACTGAGACAGAAGGATTTCACTTGTGGCCGGAGAGCAGAACAAAACGTCTTATGACACGACGACCGACAACGAGATAATAATCCTTAATCAATAATCAATGCCACAACTCTTGAAATAGGTTGAACGAGATGCTCCTTAAGCACCGGCAGACTGTGCTGGTCCGCTTTGATGAGTCAATGGGAGGACACTGGTCAGAGGGCTACATATTGCAGGCTGTGCAGGAGCTGGGCGCAGTCTCTGCAGCAGCATGTCATCGGAGCATGATGAAAGCGAAGCTGTCAGAGGTTATTCGTCCGAGCATTGGGGCCAGGGACTCGGTGACCGCTGCAGGTCCGGGCGCTGCGCCATCAAATGGGCTCCTCTGATGGGCCCACGCCCCGGGCCGCATTCATTAGGCCTTCATTACAACGCAGCCGGAAGCTGCACACTGCAGCGGAGCAGCCTCGGCGGCTGCAACAAGGCGACACAGTGGCGCGGCCCCGACGGTGCGATACATAACTTTAGATAATGGACGCAGCCATTCGTTTTAGCATATATTATCATAAAACATGCGTTATTGTTTTGTATCTCATCCAGTGCCAGTTAGGGAGACGTTTTGATCTATCTCTCCCTCTCTCCCTCCCTCTCTCTCTCTCTCTCTCTCTCTCTCTCTCTCTCTCTCCTTCTCTTCCTTTCTCTTTCTGCCTCTTGTAATGGAATCAACATTCATCCACTCAGTGATACCTTTTGCTTTTTTCATTTGCCTCCAAGGTTCTAGAGAGAAGCTCTCGAGTAAGCTCGGTAGGCTGTCCCGCATAGCTTTCCTGCGTTGCGGTACAGCCTATCTCTCAGTGAGTGGCTGAACCGGACAGACATGACCGTCAGCGCTGACGGCAAACGGCAGTGGATAACTATAGCCATGGAGGAAGGAGTACTGGAGTGGCAACTTCACGCTTTTTTGCGACAGACACCTTCCAGCTAGTACCGTTCATAGGTTCTTATCGAAAGCAGAACTACACCATTCAGCCAATCAGTGTTGCCAACCGTCCGTAATTCAACCAATGAGCGCGCTCGTAACCAGCTGACGAATAAAATGAACAGACTACATCGAGCAATATTTAATTTTATAAGTTTATAAGTTTATATAAAGTTTATTATTAAAAGTATAATAATAATATAAATAATATAAAATATTTATAAGTTTTAATGTCAATTTCAACGAGCCGGTACCTGCCCGTTCTTCCCGTCCTCGTCTCCAGCTGTAGATGTACCGCCCTTCGCGCACCGGATTTGAGATTAATCTGTGAAAGTCGCTAGAACTTGAATGTAACCATTGTCTTCTCCGTTTAATTTCCTGCTCATTGATGTACAAAAATCACACGTAGCGCCCAAAATAATCCTCCTACGCCCTTTCCTCTAAACCGCTGCACGCCATAGCCCGCCATTATAAGCCGACCGCCGCGACCCGCCGATACTAGCTGGGGCGTTTCGACCCGCTCCCGCTAGGTGGCCCGTGTCTGTCGCTAACGGCCCATGCTAAAGGCATGGAGTTGCCACTCCAGTATTCTCTCCTCCATGCTATAGCCGTGCGGTGAGAAAACTTTTCGGCTGATTGAACTCACTACTAAATCAGTGCTGGGCTTTATGAAAAATCAGTGCGTAATAGTGAGTGGTTACGCTTCTAATCTCTACCATTTATAAGAAGAACAATGTGGTGTGACGAAAAGAATAATTGTAAGTATGTTTTTTTATCTATTTTGCAAAGGCAAGAGTTGTATGATTACGGTTTCCATTATATTCGAATTAATATTTTTTTCACCCATATGCCTTAATTGTGCTTGTTATGACTAACTGGCACACCTAAATGTAAAATTTGGTGCAGATTTTTTTCCCGCATTTACCTATGCACCGGATTACCACAATATACTAGTAGTTACACGAAACAGCTTTGCATTTTGAGTAGCAGCAATATGACGGAAAGTCGTGATGTCATGTATTTTTCCAAATGCATTACCCCAGGTTTACCGTAAATATTCTCTTTTTTTGTGTGTAGTCACTTATCAGGTCTTGCTAGCGCGCATTAAATCCTGCGGCTTTTCCGATAGGATGCCTTTTTTCGGGTGAGAGACCTCCTATCAATCGATAACCAACTGTGGACCATATGGTAGAATGTAGATGTATGAGAAACCACCCTTGTGGCGTATTGTGCAGGACCTGTGAGATTTATCCTGTACAGCCTTAAAGTGGATTATAACTCGTCTTACGCCAACAAATGACGCCGGCGCCGCGCCGCCTCCCCGCGTCGGAGCGAGTCGGAGCGAGCCGGCGGCGGCGGGCTCTTGTTGTTTGTGTTGCTGCGCTCCTTTGGCGGGGCCTTTGTTCGTCTGGTGATGGACACGGCTCCGAAAGACAAATATGACAGCTGCCGCCGTTCCCAGGCGGCGACGATCCGGCTTCCGATTCGGGCGAACAGCTGGACAAACTTCGGCCGGCGATTATTCGCCGTCCCGCCACCGGCGATTCTATATCAATTAGATTCCGTTCTTTCCAGTTGAGTAAGTTTTAAGTGGCTAATTGAGCAGCGCTGCTGGATGAGAGCTGGAGCTGAGACAGGCTTAGACTTGGCTGTAACGCAATGAAACCACGCGAACACACCCGCATTCACCGCGGGCAGTCATTCGAAAAACATGCCGACTTGGGCTAGAATTGGATAGTTATGATATCCACATGACTAACTCTGCTCATTGACTTATTCTGACCTTAACTGGCTACCATAAAATGTTAAACAATAAAGTGCAGCTAAAGCTGCTGAAAAATATTAATAGATTTACTTCGGCCATAAGCTACTTTAGAGTAAATAACCAAAAGTTCGCCATGAGTTCACACACACTTTCCCAAACACACACGTCCAAGATAATGATTTTTGAAGCGCAGCCTAGGCAATGTTTGGAAACACATTCTGTCAGTCATATGGCTCGCCCAATCGCTTCCGCTCTACAGTCTTGTGAAGCAGGCTGTTAATGACCTCTGCGTCTGCCCTACTTGCCCGAAAACCAGCTTAGACTAACGCCATTATACCAGCAGCGGGCGGCATCCAAGTATGCGCCGTGAAGGAGAGAGCAGGGCTGGTAAAAATGCTGAATCTGCTACATACCAGATATTACGAGAAACTCTTTATTAGCTACCTTGCCACAAATGTTCCTCACATCATTTAGATGCTAGAGAAAATGATTTTACAAGTAATCAAAATTCTGGAGAGAGCTTTCCACTTTCATTTTCTATCTATTCTCAAATTGAGCTTTGAATGTTTTTATTTAGTTGGCTGTACACACAAAAACAGATACAGTGTCTTGCGTATGCCCCTGTGAATGTTCTTTTTCTTATTTTTTACTCTTTGTAGGTACTCACTACTCAGGTTTAGAAAAAGCATACAAATATCAAAATAACGTGCTGTAGGGCTTTCTCAGGGCAAGTTCCAGCACCACCTGAGAGCACCAGAGAGCTCCAGTGAGCCCTAGAATTTTCCTATCAGCATTTCAGCAACTTCAGGATTCAGATGGTATCAGCCTACTCAGGCAGAAAGTATTTGAAAGAAATCAGGTTGATTTGGCTGCTCA